GAGTTTGGCTTAAAATTCTGCTGTTGCTATAGTAAGTTTGTGTGTGTTGCAAGCATGTGTGTCTCCTCCTGACTCTGCCCTTCTTCCCAGTGTTCCTCTGCCCCCCCAAACCCTGCCTAGCAGTGTAAAGGAAAATTCCACAACACTTTTCAACCACTTCTCCACCTTATTCACGCCCCTCCTCCCCCTTTTTTTTTTGAGACAGGGTCTCGCTTGACTGGTCTGAACGCATTATGCAAAGCAAGCTAGCCTTGAACTCATAGAGATGCACCTGCTTCTGCCTCCAAAGTTCTGAGATTGAAAGCATGCACTACCATCCATGCCCAGCCCCTTGCTTTATATTTTTGATGTTTTTAAAATTAAATTTTGTTTTCAAGATTTATTATTTTTACTTATGTGTGTGTATGGCTGCCTGAGTTTATGGGCACCACATGCCTGCAGGTGCCTCTAGGGGTCAGAGGGCAGTGGATCCCTGGAGCTGGAGTCACAAGCAGCTGTGAGCTGCCTGATGTGGGTGCCAGGAATCAACCCCAGGTCCTCTGCAAGAGCAGTAAGTGCAATTAAGTACTGAGCCTCCAAATTAAATTCTTTGACCTTTTCATGCACACATACATCTGAACTCCCACCCCCATCTTTCCTTGTCTCCTCCTAGCTCTCTTTCCTCCCTACATAGTCATACTGACTTTTTTTTTTTATTTGAGACTCACTAAGGTTAACCAGTTTGGAGCCCTCCAATGGAGCCTGGTTGGGCTCACCAGGCTCAACTGATGGTTGTAACTCCTTATTTCCCAGACTCCATCAGTGCCTACTTGTTCAGTAGGGGGCATGGCAGGCCCTCTCAAGCCCCTTCTCCATTGGTGATTGGCTGTTGACAGGCCCATTTGTGTTTGGGCTCAGTGTGGGCCAGTGCGTTTGCATTGAGTTCATTATTGGAATGGCTGAATTGTACCCAGAGATGGCATTTCATAGTTTTTCTTTTTATTATCTTGTGCTTATATTCTTTCCAACCCCTATTCCCTAATATTTCTGGAGCCTTAGTGTGTGTGTGTGTGTGTGTGTGTGTGGGTTGTGGTGGTATAAATTACGTTTTTAAATTGCATGTGGAAGCTGAGGAACAGTGAGTGGATCCTGGAGATTGAACTCAGGTCATCAGCTTGTCAGCAAGGACCTCTGTCTTTCTCACTGGTCCCCCATCTCATCTTCAGGGACTCTCACTGAACCTGGAGATGCTGGTCCAGTCCCAGAATCCATCTGTCTCCATCCCCAGCACTGTCTTTACAGATGTGTAGCACCATGTTGAGCCTTGGTGTGAGTGCTTGGATCTGAACTCAGGTCCTCACACTTGTGCAGCAAGCACTTTAGCCCCCGGGCTGTCTGTCTCCCCAGTCCTGTACTGCAATTCTTAGTAGAAATTAAGTGTCTCACTATGTAGCCCGGGCTGGGGACTCTCCTGCCTCAAAGCCTGTGGGTGTGGGGATGACAGTTGAGAGCCACCAGGCTTGACCAATGATAGTCTTTGAATAACTGAATCCAGCATCTTTCTCTTGTTCTGTGTCTTGAAGTTAAGTATCTCACATTGGTGATGGGTCACCCTGAATCCTGGACAAAGAGCTGGTCCCCTCCTCAGTGACTGTCACTGCTGCATGAATTCCCTGCTTGTGGGGAACTCCCTTGCAGTTTGGCCTGCCTCACCCATGCTGTGTTCTCTCCCAGTGAGCTCAGGCAGTGTGGTCTCCTGGTCTCTGGTCTCTAGTCTTTTCCAGTCTTACATTTTCCTTTATTTCTTTAAAAAAGTGTATTGTGGTAAAAATGCTCAAATACTTGGCCTCGCCTCTTAACAGACTTGAAATGTACCCTCCTGCACTTGTCTGGCTCCCACCTTCTTCTAGGCAGTGGTTGGCAGTCCTCCATGTTGCTTGTATGATTTGGTTCTTTTAGACAACTCATGTAATGGAATGATTTGGCCTTTTGTGTCTGGTTTATTTTACGTAGAATACTGTCTTCTATGTTCATTCCTATTGGCACAAAAGACAGATTTTCCTTTCATATAAGGGATAAACTGTATTCCACTACAGATGAATGTCATTGCTGGATGACTGGTTTAAGCTTAAGCCATATATCAGCCACAGTGCATGCAGGTTATTCCCGCACTTGACTTTTGTGAATGGTGTGGGCGTGCCAATAGTCTCTCAATATTCTCATGCTGATTCTTTTGAATGAAACAGAGACATGGGATTTCTGGGTCTCGTGACAGCCCTAAAAGCCTGGATTCTGTATGTGAGAGAAAACAGGCAGTTTGTCTCTCTGTGCTGGACTTACTTTACTTAGCAGGATCGTTTTTGCTTCCATTTATCACCACAGATGACCTAGATCTCAGCATTTCGGCTAGCCTGGCTTTGTTCTCATGCCTTTCCATTTATTATTTACTTATTTATTCAGAGACAGGGTCTCACTCCAGGTTGGCCTGGAGTTCATGGTCCTCCTGCCTGATCCCCGGAATGCTAAAATTGCAGTTCTGTGTTTCCTTCCACACCCAGCCCTTTCTCTCTTTTCGATGCATTTTAAATTAAGTTGCATTATCGGTTCCCTTCCTCCACAATAGTTGACATGTAGGTTTTTAACTAGAAATATTTTAGGACTTACAGTAGGAAATACATAAGTATTTATTCAGTGAGTCTTGACAAATGTAACTCATAGCCTTTTCGATATATAGACACGTGTCTGGCTGTGGTGGAACACACCAGCAATGCTGGAGCCCAGAAGGCAGAGTTAGGGAAAGGTCACATTTAAGCCCCTCTTGGGCTATCTAGCAAGTTCAAGGCCAGCTTAAGCCATATATCCAGATCTTGCTACAGCCCCTCCAAACCTCAGCCCCCTCAAAGAAGACCCTCAAACAATATAGAACTTCCCTTCCAGGCAATTCCTATCCTACCTCCTACCCTAACCACAGTTCTGATTATCTCCTTCCATTGTGCCCACTCTCTGCTGAGACCCTTGCTGGCCTCACACTGCTCAGTTTTACTTAGCACTGGCTTCCCACTGTTGAGGGTGTGATTGTGCTAACTGCCGGTTCCTTCTTTCTCCTCTACTGCCCTACTTCTTGTATCTATATGAGAATTTTGGGACTGGTGAGGGGGCTCAGCTGGTAAAGGCACTTCCTGCCAAACCCGGGGACCTGAGTTTGCTCCCAGGGTGGGGTGCCGAGGGTGGGGAGCACACGATGGAAGGAGAGAACTGATTCCTGAAAGCTGTCCTCTGACTTTTAACCTGCGTACTCCCTCAAGGAAGATAAATGTAATAAAAGAGATAATTTTGTTTAGATCAGTATTCAATGTTTGCATTTTTCTGACCATATAAATAAGATCCGGATGGGTGAAACAGTATATATTTTTTATTTCTTTCCCATAAAACCTTTAGCTTTCTTCAGGAATTTCATAATCCAGGAAATCTTTGGATATTGTTTGGATACGTTTTGAGTCACCTGAATGTCTTGAAAAGCATGGGTGGTAAAGATGAGAGCCTCTGCCTTGGGCTACCAAATCACACTTTCCTGCCTTTTCTTTCCTGCCCTCAGCGGATCACAGGTGCCAGTTTCTCCCCCAAGCTCCAGTACTTCGGTCAGTCTCTGAGTGGGGGCAAGGACCTCACAATGGATGGCCTGACAGACCTGGCTGTGGGGGCCCAGGGGCACCTCTTGCTGCTCAGGTGAGAATCCGCTGATGGCACCAGCTCTTTCCCTTTGCAATGTCTCGCCTCTGTCGTCTGGTGGATCCTGATGTCTCTCTGATGTCCCTCTAGAGCCCAGCCCGTGCTAAGACTTGAGGCAACCATGGAATTCATTCCAAAGAGTCTAGCAAGGAGTGTGTTTGAGTGTCAAAATCAAGCATCAAGAAACAAGGATGCTGGAAATGTCAGAGTCTGCCTCCATGTCCGCAAGAACACCAAGGATCGGCTGCAAGGTGAGAGGTGCTGGGTAAACCTCTGGGTTTCCATGACAGTGTGTTATCTCTGTCTGCCCAGTCTTCTAGTAGAAGAAAGTTCTGGCTGGTGCTGACCGTCTTCTAGACGGTCTAGAATGCCTGGCTAGAATGAGTGGGGAAGCCCAGCAAACCTTACCAGAGAAGTGACCAGTTGGCACTTCCAGAAAACCAAGACCCCATGTCTGTGAGCAAACTAGGCTCCTTTTCTTTGTTTATGTCTTTCTCTCCCTCTTTCTTTTATTCTTTCTTTCTCTTTTAAAAATGTGAGAATATCTGTCATTCTTTTGTATCTTCACTCCATCTATTACGTATGCTTAAAATTTACATAGTTTCTTTTTTTTTAAAAGATTTTATTTATTTATTATGTATATAACATTCTGCTTCCATGTTTATCTCCACACCAGAAGAAGGCACCAGATCTCATTACAGATGATTGTGAGCCACCATGTGGTTTCTGGGAATTGAACTCAGGACCTTTGGAAGAACAAGTAGTGCTCTTAACCTCTGAGCCATCTCTCCATCCCCCTACATAGTTTCTTATACTCTATGCATTCACCTGAAACTTCCTTCCTTTATTTATTTTTTTACTTAACACAGTAATAAAGTAATACATTATTTTTTTTTCAAGGCAAAGTCAGCCATAGCTGACCTTAGTTATGTGCCCAGGGAGATGACCTCTACCTCCCAAATGCTGGGACTATAGGAGTGTATTACCTCTCTTCTTCTTCTTCTTCTTCTTCTTCTTCTTCTTCTTCTTCTTCTTCTTCTTCTTCTTCTTCTTCTTCTTCTTCTTCTTCTTCTTTTTGTTTTTTGAGACAGGGTTTCTCTGTGGCTTTGGAGGCTGTCCTGGAACTAGCTCTTGTAGACCAGGCTGGTCTCAAACTCACAAAGATCCTCTGCCTCTGCCTCCCAAGTGCTGGGATTAAAGGCGTCCGCCAACAACGCCCTGCTCCTCTCACACAGTTTATGTGGTGGTGGGGACTAAATGAAGAACTTTGTGTATGCTAGACAAGCATTTGACAACTGAGTGGCATTCCGGACTTAACATTTTTATTATTATCTACTCAAAATGGTTTTCAAATGACTATTTTAAACATACAGGACTAGAGACCGATACACGGCATTCTTAGGCAAGTTTTATAGCTTTCCCAAACATGCTTCATTCAGTTCTTTTTTGTTTTTCTTTTCCTTGATAAGGATTCTTTAAAAAATTACCTTAAAGAAAGATTTATTACATTTTAAATTATGTGTTTATCTCTTTAATTATGCATGTGTCTCTGTGTAGGTACGTGCATGTGAATGTGGGTACCCACAGAGTCCAGAAGGGGGCTGGATCCCTAGAGCTGGAGTTACAGGCAGTTAGTTGTGAGCTGCTTGACAAGGGGTGCTGGGGACAAAGCTCCTGTCCTCTGATAGAGCATCGTGTGTGCGTATAACCACCGTGCCACCTTTCCAGCCCTTTAAATCCCTGTTTTTGTTTGTTTTGTTTTTGCTACGTAGAACATGACCCACCTGTCTCTGCCTCCCCTATGCTGGGAATAAATGTGTGCACCATCACACCTGGCTTAAATTACTTTGAAATTTTTAAAATATAAATTTGATTTATTTATTCACACATTTACATGTGAGGTTTGGTAGCAGGCACCTTTACCCACTGAGCCATCTTGCCAGCACAGCCCAAGAATGTTAAAGAGGAACATAAAAGTCATCCCATTTTACTGCCTCACCCTATGAATATCTTTGAAATAGGAACATTTTCTTACAAAGCCATAACATCACTTTCAACATTAGTCTACAATAAATACTTGCTAATATAAAATAATTTTTTAAAAATCAAATTTTTTATCCCCGAAATATGAGCAATCCTTTCTTTCTTAGAGTAGGATCTGAATAACATGTGTCTTTTGCTTTCTAGTGTTTGTTTCCATTTATTTACTTACTGACAACATCACATATGTGTACAATATGGTCTTTTCCTATTGCAATTTCATACATATATATAATGTATTTTGGTTAGGTTCACCTGCATGACTCTTACTTGTCCCTTGAACTCCTTATTTACAGAATAGCCACCACTTTCCTCCTCACCCTCCCTGAGACAGGGTTTCTCTGTGTTACAGCTCTGGTTGTTCTGGAACTCGCTCTGTAGACCAGTCTGTCCTTGAACTCACAGAAATTCACCTGCCTCTGCCTCCTGAGTGCTGGGACTAAAGACATGTACCAACACTGCCTGGCATTGCACCTTCTTCTTCTTCTTCTTCTTCTTCTTCTTCTTCTTCTTCTTCTTCGTCTTCTTCTTCTTCTTCTTCTTCGTCTTCTTCTTCTTCTTCTTCTTCCTCTTCCTCTTCCTCTTCTCCTCCTCCTCCTTTCCCTTCTCCTCCTCCTCCTTCTCCTCCTCCTCCTTGAGCTGAGGACCAAACCCAGGACCTTGCATTTGCCAGGCAAGTGTGCTCTACCACTAAGCTCAATTCCCAAGCTTAGCCATCACTTTTTGAGGATTTCCTTAGTGGGCACTACCTCATTTCTTCTTCTTTTTAACCACTTGAGAGGCGTTATTACTATTCTTACTTTGAAAGTAATGAATTAAGACACAGAGAGGCCAGATAATATGTGGATAATCACACAGCCGAGAGCGGACTTGTGCTCACAGACCTCTGTCTGCCTGGTTCCTCATCATTATTCCCTTTCCTTTCAGGAGAGATCCAGAGCACTGTCACTTATGACCTGGCTTTAGACCCTGGCCGCATACATGCCCGTGCCATCTTTGATGAGACAAAGAACAGAACACGCAGGAAAAGCCAGGTCTTTGGATTGGCACAGAAATGTGAAACCCTGAAGCTACTGTTACCGGTGAGCAGGCAAATGGCAGAGCTCCTGGCTGAGGATGGAGTGGCCGAGCGAAGCTGAAGAAGGCAGATTCCCCAAATCCCCACTCTCTTTTAGGACTGTGAGGAAGATTCACTGAGCCCCATCATCCTGCGCCTCAACTATACACTGGTGGGAGAGCCCCTGCGCGCCTCTAGGGACCTCCGGCCGGTTCTGGCATTAGATGCCCAGAGGTCCTTCATAGCGATGGTGAGTCCTGCGGTTGGGGGCCTTGCAGGAGTGGAGAACAGAACAGAAAGAGCTTGCTTTATTTTATGTAATTCCATTTAAATGTTTTAAAAAAATTGCTCCACTTAATCATTTTCATTCCTTTCCTTTTGATCATATTCCCTTTCCAGTTTCCCTTTGAGAAGAATTGTGGTAATGACAGTGTTTGCCAGGATGACCTCAGCATCACTATGAGTTCTACAGAGTGAGTTTCTTTCTGTTATTGCTTCCTTCCCCCAAACCTGAATCAATGTGTTCCTGGTCGCTGAGGGAGCCCAGGGTTCTTCACAGATATTTGTGTGCCACAGGATTCCTAGTACCTGCTCTGCTCAGGTTCCTGCCTTTCTTCATCAAACCAGACATGCTGCAGGGAAGCTCTGGATCCCTCATGCTCTTGTTTTTCCTCACAGCCTGGACACTTTGGTGGTGGGAGACCCCCGGGACTTCAACGTGAGGGTGACTGTGAGAAATGATGGTGAAGACTCCTACAACACCCAGGCTACCTTATACTACCCATCTGGCTTGTCTTACCGGAAGGTGTCAGTGAGCCAGGTAGCTCAGTCCTCTTCAGTCTCTGGGCGCTGCTTTCCTTACCCCATGGCTGGCAGTTGACAGCACTACATTTTCCTGCCTTGGTTCCAGAACCCGCTTACCCAGAAGCCTTGGCGCGTGCAGTCTGAGTCCAGCTCTTCCACTGAAGAGCCTGGGGCTCTGAAGAGTACCACCTGGAACATAAACCACCCCATCTTTCCTGCTAACTCTGAGGTCAGAGCTCCAGCCCCTGCTGTCCTTCTGTCTGCTGTCGTCTTAATGGAATTCTCCTCTTCTCCTCACTTCTCCTCCCTGTCCTAAGAAAGAAGCGGCCCCTTTCTACAAACTGGCTTTATTTCGGCATAAAAACATCCCATGAACTCACCCATTGTGTACAATTCAGTGGCTTTTAAGTATTTTCAGAGTTCTTCATCCATCATTCTGATCAATCTGAGCCCTTGCTAGTTGCTCCTGGGGGCTCCTGATTGGCCTTCCTGTATGTCTCCTCTCCTGGATATCTCCCATCCATAGACACAAACCACATGGTCCTCTGTGATTGTCTTCTTTCCACAAGCATTGTATTTTCAAGGGCCACTTCCTGTCAGTTCTTCTCTTTTTATTTCTGAAAAATATTCTATCAGGTGGGCAGATCATGTTTAATGTATCCCATTCAGTGATCGGTGGACAATTGTGCTATTTTTTCTTCACTATTTTAAATCACGGTCTCCATTCTCCAACTCTAGATCACTCTTACGGTCACATTTGATGTGGACTCTGATGCTTCCCTTGGGAACAAACTGCTCCTCAAGGTCAATGTGACCAGGTACCTGTTCCCATATTCTATGGTCATCCTCTCCTTTGAGGCCCAGTCAGGATGAATCATTTTCTTCTCTCTACTGGTTCTCTGTTTTGATGGCATTATTCATTCAGCAAACACTGCTTGGGTACCCACCCATATGCCAGGCATTGTGTCAAGTTGGGGGCGTGTTGGTGGATAAGACACAGCTGTGGTTGCTGCCCTCGCAGACGTTCAGTGGCACAGATAGGCCAGGTGATTACAATATAGTATAAAATAAATGATCAGGTGATGTTAGTGGCAGGGTTGCCCAGTGTTCTGAGAAGATTCCTGAATAAAACGTATTTGGGTTTCAAATAAGCCAAGCAAAGGCATAAAGGCAGGAGGAAGCATGCACCAGGCAAAACCTGGAGCTTGGAGGTATCTGAGGTATTCCGTGCATCGGAACAGCTTAGGCAGGGCCTGTGAGACGGCTCTGTGGGTGAAGCCTAATGACCTGTGTTCTGTCCCTGCAACCCATATAAAGCCGAAGGAGAGAACTGACTCCACAAAGTTGTCCTTTACCCTGTACCATATGTGCTGGGGCGTGCATGAACCCTCCCACCAGCCACAACTAATAAAAATAAATAATAGAGACTGCTGAGTTAGCTCAACAGGTAAGGCTGCCGAAGCCTCATGACCCAGGTCCAGTCCCTGGAACCCACATGGTGGAAGGGCAAGCCAACTCTCATAAGCTGTTTTCTGACCTCCAAGTGTGTGCTGTGGCATGTGTATACCCAAATATACACACACACACACACACACACACACACACACACACACACAAATAGACGTAAAAGAAATTAATAAAAGAATAGCTTAAGCACATGATGCAGGATTCAGAGCTGGTGGGAGTTAGATATGGCTGTGGCACTGGATGACTAAGGGGAGCTGTTAGGAAGTTTTCGGTTTAGACTGTAGGAGAAATATGGTTATATTTACTTGCATATTAGACAGATCACTCTTAAGGAGGGGGCTAGGGAGGGAGCATCCCGAAAGCTGCTGTAGCTGTTGGAGCAGGTGGGGCCTGGCAAAGCAGAGGTGGAGAGAACTGTGGGGTCAGGGATGTGGGGACAGCTGAGAGTGAGGGAAGGGGAGGTGAGCCTTGTCACTTCTGAGAGCTGGCTGAGGACCTGCTTTCCTTCCAGTGAGAACAACATGTCCAGGACCCACAAAACGGAGTTTCGGTTGGAGCTGCCTGTGAAGTATGCTGTCTACATGGTTGTCACCAGGTACTGCTCCGTTCCACTCTCCCCAGTCAGGCTGCACAGCCAGCTGCGTGATTATGTTCATGAGCTGCATTGTGCTATGAGTATGATATGTGCCTTCGTGGAGGAACCGTGTGTGTGTGTGTGTGTGTGTGTGTGTGTGTGTGTGTGTGTGTGTGTGCCCCAGGGCTGATTTGTCACCTCCCTACTTCTGTGCATTAAGTCCAAGCAGGACACCTTCATGTTTTGTCACCTGTTGGCTATTCTTTTTTTCTTTTAGTGATGAGAGTTCTACCAAATATTTCAACTTCACAGCTTCAGAGATGACTAGTCAGGTCATCCAACATCAGTACCAGGTGAGGAGCAGGGGAAGCCTGGGTCCTGAGGGATGCTGGGAGGGAAACTAGTGTGAAGGGAAGGCAGAAAGCAGTTGTAGGAAGCGTGAATACCATGCTTCTTGTATGTCAGGCACAGTTCTAAGTTTGCTATACATTCCCCTAACACACACACACACACACACACACACACACACACACACTCACACACACGCGCGCGCGCACGCACGCACGCACGCATGTGCATGAGCACGCGCACACACATTCATGTATTCACACACATACATGCACACATTTGCACTCACATACAGGCACTCACATATAGATCCATGTGAACACATATGTACTCACATACATGCATACATGCACACACAGATGCACATGCATGCACACACATACAGAGATGTATACACAGACACACAGACACACAGACACATAGACACACAGACACACACACATCCTCTATCAGGACCCTGAACACCCTTGCTGTCCCTTGTTTACAGATGGAGAAACTAATTCAGAGAGACATGAACTATGTCTAAATTCTCAAACCAGCCAGTGGCAGAGCTAGAACTTAAGATGAGCCAGTCTGGCTCAAGTGTATGTTTGGGGTTTGTTTACATGGTTCTGTCTCCCTGAAGAGCAGGACTCTTAGACCTTATTCAGTGGTCTGGGCTGTAGGTAGTGAGGAGCCAATTCTGAGAGCTACAAGGCTAGAGCCCACACCCCTCCTTTCTGACGTAGTTCAACAACCTGGGCCAGAGGAGCGCCCCCATCAGTGTGGTCTTCTGGGTCCCCGTCCAGCTTAACAAGGTGACCATATGGGATCGTCCCCAAGTCATCTTCTCCCAGGTGAGTCCAGCTGGGTCCCCAAAGCTCAGGTCTTTCCAAAGATGTGTTTCTTGCCTTTTCTGACTCTTCCCTTGGGCCCAGGCTGTGGCTCTGCTGGGTGGGACCAGAATCCTCATTTCTCTCTCTTCTTGGTGTCTGTCTTTCCCCAGAACCTGTCAAATGCCTGCCACACTGAGCAGAAACCCCCCTCTCACTCTCAGTTCCGGGATGAGCTTGAGAAGACCCCAGTACTGGTAAGGACATGGTGGCCTCCAGCTTCCAGGCCACATACAGTCATCATGGTCTGCCCCAGTCTTAGTCATCTGTCTCTTTGGCCTTCTCTTCTAGAACTGTTCTATAGCAGTCTGTAAGAGAATCCAGTGTGATCTCCCGTCCTTCAACAGTCAGGAAATGTTCAATGTCACCCTCAAGGGTAAACTGTCATTTGACTGGTATATCAAGGTACGTTGTTGTGTTTTGAGACTCAATGGGTATAGCCGTAACAGTCCAGAGCCCAGGCCTGGTTCCCATTCTGCTCTCCCCACAGACTTCTCATAACCACCTCCTGCTTGTGAGCACTGCTGAGATTGTGTTTAATGACTCCGTGTTTGCCCTGCTTCCAGGGCAGGGCATGTTTGTGAAGTCTCAGGTATCCATCCCAGGCATGGTGAGGTGCAATGGCTGTGGGCGGTTGCAGGGAGGAGGATGCTGGATGTCAGATCTCATCTCCAGGTTGTCGAGAGAAGTGGGCGGGAAGAGAACCGAGGCCTGTGGTCGCTATTGCGGATTATAGGGAGGAGTTTACCCTTGAGCTTATGGAGCTCTTCAGAAGTTTGGGGTGTACCTACCTGCTGTATCCCCTTTCTTTTCTTCCTCTCCTAGACAGAGACCAAAGTGGAGCCATATAAAGCTCACAACCCTGTACCACTCATTGTGGGCAGCTCCATCGGGGGGCTGGTGCTGCTGGCTGTCATCATTGCTGTCCTGTACAAGGTGTGCCTTAATTCATCTTCTTTATGTCTCTGCCCCCCCCCCCCCAGCAGCTCCATTACTGTACTGCTGCCAACTATTTGACTTTGGCCAAGTCGAAGGCTCTCAAGACCTCAATTTCTTCAGTTGTAAAACAATATTATTAACTCCCATTTTACACAGAAAATGAACTTAATACATGTAGAACAACTCGGATGGCCCCTGGGCCACAATGACCACGACAAAATGAGGTTTTCTTCTCATAGTTTATATTTCTTTCCTTGCCCCAGAACTGATGCTGCTTCTCTCCCTGTCTGACTTTCCCCAGGACCTTTCTATCCTCTGTCCTGTCACCCTTTGTCATGCTCAGTCATGCCGTCTGTCTCACTCCTGTTCTGTATGATCTTGACCTGCAGTTGTGGAGTCTGTGGCCTTATTCTCTGTCTTTACCCTGACAGCTTGGCTTCTTCAAGCGGCAATACAAGGACATGATGAGTGAAGCTGCTCCCCAAGAAGCCCCACCTCAGTAATGGCCCTTTCTCCATGAAGTGACCTCTGCAACACCTAGGTCCCGAGGCTGATGGGCTGACATGTCCTCTAGGAGACTGTTGCAGTGGTGTCCTGTACAGGAATGGCTTGGGATTTGTGTGTGTGTGTGTGTGTGTGTGTGTGTGTGTGTGTGTGAGAAAGAGAGAGAGAGAGAGAGCCAGAGAGAGAGAGAGAGAGAGGGATGGAGAGAGAGAGATTTCTTAGATGTGGGTAATGCCTTGAATAAATACTCTTGGAGGGAAAGGAATCTCTTGGGTTTCCTACTGTGTGAAGGCAGAAGCTAATGGACCCTCCTCTGGGCAAGATGACTGGAGCCTTGTGAGTAAGCATAGTGAAATTCTGTGGCTGCCCTCTTTGAAGGAAGTAATATTTACTTGCATGGATGAGCTGCAGACTTTCAAGAGTCAAGGTACTGAGAAACTACAAGAGAAGCTGGACACGGAATAGAGAATGGGTGACCCAACACAAATGTCCAATGAAGATGAGAAATCTCCCAGGGATTGGAGAGACAGCTCAGTGGTTGAGAGCACTTGCTCTTGCAGAGGACCTGGGCTCAATTCCCAACACCCATATAGCAGCTCACAACCATCTGTAACTCCATTTCCAGGAAATCTGAGAAATCTTCCACTACTTAGTCATTTATTATTTTAATATTAATTTAAATATTTGAATTGATTAACCTGTTTACAATACAAAAATCAAAAGACACTCAAGACTATATGGTGATGGGGATGTAGCTTGTGGCAGAGTACTTACCTGGTATAAGGCCTCGGGCTCAGCTGGCAATACTGAAAACCAAGGCAAAGTAAAACAAACCAACTTAAATAGTGTATAATGAAAAGACTCCCTCCTTAGGGGTATTCAAGGCCATATGGTTAGAACCTACTTCAGAAATATTATAGGTATCTGTGTACACACACACACACACACACAGACACACACACACACACACACACAGTTTTAAACAAATAGTAACATAATGTTTTACTATTATGCATCTTGTCTTTTTTATTATGCTCAAATAAGATATAAAATACTGTAGCTGTAGAGCACTCCCCTATGTGACTATATCATAATGTATTTAACCTGTCTCCTTCGGATGTATTACTTCCAATCTTTTGCTATTACAAACAATACTGAATTAATAAATTGTACATATCTAATTTTATATGTCTATCAGAATAATTTTTTAAACAATACATGTTTATTTATAACAACATTGTCACAAGATCTTTTTTTAAGATTTTATTTATTTAATATGTATACAACATTCTGCTTCCATGTATATCTACACACCAGAAGAGGGCACCAGATCTCATAACGGATGGTTGTGAGCCGCCATGTGGTTGCTGGGAATTGAACTCAGGACCTCTGGAAGAGCAGTCAGTGCTCTTAAGAGTGCTCTGAGCCATCTCTCCAGCCCCAGAATAATTTTTTGATATAATTCTAGATATTTGCCTTTTACTTAAAATGATCCCAAGATAAAAATTTTAGAGGATCTGGGTGGTGGTGGCACATGCCTTTAATCCCAGCACTTAGGAGGCAGAGGCAGGCGAATCTCTGTGAGTTTGAGGCCAGCCTGGTCTACAGAGCAAGTTACAGGACAGTCAGGGCTGTTACACAGAGAAACCCTGTCTCAAAACAAAACAATTAGAGAGGGAGATGAGCTTGGCGGTGCACTAGCATCCTTTCTACTCAGGAGGTAGAAGCAACAAGATTGTGAGCTCAAGGCCAGCCTGGGCTACAGAATGAGTTCAAGGCCAGCCCAAGTAACTTATCAATACCTTTCCCAACAAAATAAATGGATAAACAAAGGCTAGGGCTACCACTTGCTTAGCATGCAGGAGGTGCTACACTTGATCTTCGGTACCACTCCCCAGTGTAGTCAAGTGAGAAAGGCGCCCACAAAATATTTACAGGTAGGGGGGTTATCTGGGGGAATGTAAGGCAATGTCAACCAAGGAGAATGCCTGGTGAAGCTCTGGACCTTGATTCTCCTGGAAGACAGTGAATAACACACACCTGAGTATCATCTGGGGCAGAAGGAGCTGCACATGTACCATTTTCCACATGGTTATCAATTGAGGATTTATAACACACACACACACACACACACACACACACACACACACACACACACACACACTCTTTGTTGTGGGGAGAGTGTTAATCCCTTGACTCTTCTGGCTGAGTGGAGTAGAGTCTGGTGGCCAGAGCCAGAGGTGCTGCCAGTTGGAAGCCTGATGGAAGAGCATAGCTCCTGGGAAGACTTGTGGGGATACAGCTGAGACATTGCCAGCCCTGGCTAGCAAGAACACACACAAGACAGTTGGATGGCTATTTCTAGATGACTCTCCATCCTCCAGGGGAACCCCAGTTCCCATCTGTGAATGTGGTGACCTCATCCTTACTCTTGAAAACATCCTCTCTGATTTTCCACTAGTCTGGCTAAGTAAGTGGCTGCCACTTCCTATTCATTAATATTTAAATTTCATTTATGGGGAAATTGAGCTCCTGCCTCATCCTCCCAAGGAGTTGCAACTGTAGATTCAAACTGTCGAATCCAGCTTTTCATAATGTTCCTTGAGATACAAGAAGAAAGTCATGGACTGGGTACACTGTTCCACCTGTTCCAGATGTGGTAGGAAGGGTGGGGCTTACATCTTCCTGGGGAGATGAAGGAAGTTGTGGTTGGTGTATAGTTTGGGTGTGTCTTCCTTAGTTGACTTCCCAGGTTCTAAGAGATGGAAGCAATCTTGCTATGGCATCCTGAAATGGGGCCTTTGGGAGGTGATTAGGGTTAGATAATGTCATCGGGGTAGAGTTGTCACAATGGAATCCTGATGGCTTTATAAAAAGAGGGAGAGTTCTCTTGGTACACACTGAGGTCTTCTAGCTCATTTATTACTGTCTCTCCAGACTTATTCTTATGTAACTAGACTTTCCTTTGGACTGCTAGCTCCCAAATAATGACACAGAGACTTCTTATTAATTATGAAACCTTGGCCCCAGCTTAGGCTTGATCCTAACTTATTCTTATAACTTAAATTAACCCATTTATATTAATCTACATTCTGCCACATGGCTCATTACCTATCTTCCATACTGTACTTCTGACTTGCTCTGTGTCAATCTGGTGAATCCCATGTGTCTCAGATTCTTCTCAGAGTTCCTCTCCCCCTGGAAGTCCCTCCTATCCTCTCTTGCCTAGCTATTGGCCATTCAGCTCTTTATTAAACCAATCAGAAGGTGCCTTGACAGAGACACATCTTCACACTGTACAAAAAAAATTATTCCACATCACTCTTAGTCCTGCTACAGCCTGCTTACACAAGCCCTTCCTCCCACCACACCTTCGTCCTTTGGAGATGCTGCCTCTTGGAGTGGACCCAGGGTCTCCCTGACTCTACCACTGTCACTTTCAGCCTTTTCTCCCAGCTCATTCCCACTCCTTTGTGTCATCCACCAACCCATCACCACCACACTTACATAGGATTTAGACTGGACAACAGCAACCAAAGGACAGAAGACACAAACAACAAAGATGAGACCAAATATCTACACCAAGAAAAACTTCAAACATCCTAACTCCAGATGCCTAGATCTCTTGTGTCTTTCCCAATAAATCTCTTGTGTGAGGTTTGTAGTGCAGTATGACTGTAGTTGGAATTTTCTTTGAACCACCTCCCAAATAAAGACACAGAGACTCATTACTAATTATGAATGCTCTGTCTTAGCTTATGCTTGTCCCACTAGCTCTTTAATTTAACCTGTTTCTATTCATCTATGTTTTGCCTCAGGGCTTTTTATATTCCTTTCATTTTGTAAGTCCTACTTTCCTCCTCGATCTGTGTCAGTCTGGCTGGCCCTTGGTGTCTCCCTGCCATCTCTTTTCTTTCTTCTTCTGAGCCTGGATTCCTCCTCCTTACTTCCTTGCTTGAAAGTCCCACCTACCCCTCTACTGCCTAGTCATTGGTCTTTCAACTTTTTATTAAACCAATCAGGTGCCTTAGTCAGGCAAAGTAAAATAGCAACACATCTTTACATAGTTAAACATTCTGCCACACAAACAAATGCAACATATCTTTGCATAGTTAAATGTTCCGCAGCATATGACTTGTGGTATTTGTTGGCTTCTGACTGCCAGGATCCCCTTCCCTTCAGAGGTGTAACACTTATATAGAGGAAACCTCTCCCCTCAGAGCTGTAACCCTTCTGTGGGGAAGCCTTTCCCTTCAGAGCTCGGACATGTACATTGGGGATTTCCCCTCAGGGCTGTAACACTTACAGACAATATGCAGAGTGTGGGCGTCACCTGTGCCAGCCCCCAAGTGGACACAGTCAGCATTTCCCCCTACACTCATCTCTAAATGGGATGTCTGTCTTCATCAAACTGTCCCTTCAGGATTGAGGGGACCATGCAGAAGAGGAGGTGGAAAGAGTGTAAGAGCCAGAGAGGATGGATGGCTTCAAGGAAACTGTGTTCTTCAGACACAGAAGGACTGACATACACATGAACTCACAGAGACTGTGGCAGCACAGAGTTCAAGTCAAAAGGGACCCAAGTGCTGAGAGAGGGAAGTAGACTTCCCACCCCTCACCAACAAGCTGTCTGCAGCAGATACCTGCTTGCCAAAGATACTAACTACCTTCAGGGTAAGCCGAGCCCAGGAAGCAACACAGAATGAACTCAGTGATATTTTGGTAGACACTTTGTCTCAAGTTGGTTTGTTGGGCTTTTTTTTTTTTTTTTTTTTTTTTTTTGGTTTTTTTGTTGTTTGTCTATTTTGGTTTCTGCTGTGGTTTGTTTGTGTGTGTGTGTTTCTAGATATTTGTTCTTGTTGTTGTGTTGTTTTAAAGAGAACGAAAGAGCTTGGAGTCTTGTGTGATGTTTTACTCTTTTGGCTTTTTGGGGGGCTCACCACTCAGTTCCCATATAAACCATACATGGAGGCTTATTCTTTTTTTTTTAAGATTTTATTTATTTATTATGTATACAACATTCTGCTTCCATGTATATCTGCACACCAGAAGAGGGCACCAGATCTCTTAACGGATGGTTGTGAGCCACCATGTGGTTGCTGGGAATTGAACTCACG